ATTGTGCTAATAGGTAGATATTGAAAATTCACCTGTATGTGTACGTAATCGCACGCATATATGGGTGATCATATCTCTTTATTTAATTTCTATATCTGTCTATCTCTGTATCCCTCTCTCTCTCTCTCTCTCTCTCTATATATATATATATATATATATATATATATATATATATATATATTAGAAAATAAAAGTGCTAGATCTTACAAAAATGGCAGAGTTTTTTCTAATATTCTAAATGCTCTGACATTTTTGGCTAGAAGATTTAGCTCCTTTACCGTAGCGCTATTTTCCCTCGTGTCATTGATCACTTTTCTTTACCATGCTGGCAAGCTTTCCTCGGTAGAACGTATTTATTTTATAGTTTTCGACTATTTCTGATCATGGCAGAGTGGTTTACACTCCCACCGGGTGGGTTTGGTTTGTCCGTCATATTGAACTCACCTGGTGGTATATAGGGTACTCATTCCATAAACTACACCCACCGGCCACCTGACGATATTTATATTTGTCATTTATTTCTTTCAGTTCTTTTTACTTTTTAACTGAATGTATGTGTTGTTTCAGTTAAATGTAAAAAGTAAAATCATCCTTGATAATGGCCAAAATTATAGCAGAATGCTCTCAGAAATGCAAAACATTTGCATCAGTTTTTACACACTTTGTGTCCAGAATAGAAAACACTTGTACAAACACAAGCAAAATTAAATAAAAAGCTTAATGGCAGTACGTTGTCAGCCGTCTTTAACGAAACATGTATAAAATAGGGACTGCTACCTAAATACACAATATATATATATATATATATATTAGGTTGGTGCAAAATAATGACGTAATAATGTCGTTTTTGGATGGATTTTTAACGTCAAAAAACGACATCATTACGTCATTATTTTTGCACCAACCTAATATATATATATATATATATATATATGAGGTATAAAATGACAATTGGAAAAATTTTTCCAATTGTCATTTTATACCAATTCGTCTTGTCCACAGAATTGATCTGGAAATTTAACTATATATATATATATATATATATATATATATATATATATATATATATATATATTGATCGGGTTTATACGCGAGACTGCAAGCATACAGCCGGAAAGGGATCTTACTACACTGCTGGAAAATTAGTTAAAATATTGAGGAGACTTGCTGTCTTGAGATCTCTAAAGAACACCACTAGTCTTTTGAGAAACTCAAGTGGGTTGCGAATAATGAGAAAATAAACAATGCTTAAGTGTTTTGACAAAAGACAAGCCTGTCGTAAACAGCCAATGGGGAATTGAAGTAATTGTCAGCGACAGTACGTTCATGGAAGAAATATCTTTGAGAATTGGCGCAATTATAGGAAGCTGATTAGAATGACGGTCTCTGCGAGGAAGCGCTATAGAAAAAAATACAATGTATTGTGCTAAGATAAAGATCTGGTCATCAAACAATTATTTCTTCTTTTATTCTTCCCCCCTTTCACGACTTTTAAGGATCGAGGGTGGGTGATCTTGAATGAAAGAATTTTTAGCACATATCCTGAACCCATAAAAAAAATAAAACATTCACGATGTAGAATTCAGTCAGTTATGTGCCATGCTTGATACACGCTTAGGCGATCATGTATCTTTCGATACGTGAATGACAAGGCATATTTTTTCCGCAGTAGGTTGCCATTTCTTTCTGCGGTAGACCAGTTGACATCCAAGGTTATAGGATCCGGTCTGCTCTTCAATTTACCCATAGCTGGAGGGGAGAAGAAGATTCATACCTTTTCCAAGGGTATGTAAGTGAATCTAATGGATTCGACTGGAATTCGAACTCTGCTCTCCGATTCCTCAATCCGAGCCGCTATCCATTACTCCACCGTGAATTAGTAAATACAAGACACTTCAAATATCTCGACGTATTGATCAGTTATAATAAGTTAAGTAGAGGAGAAATAAGGAATAGACTGCGTTAGATGTAGTCTCGCCCAACACCGCCAATTGCTACAAAACCAAAACAACAACCTGAAACCATAGCGATAATAGCCTCACCGGATCAAGACTTTCATATGGGTGTCATACTTGCCGCAAAACTCGTTCAGAAATTTGTAAACTATCATCTGCATACAGCCGCTTTCGAAGATTAATGGCGAAAAAAGGCTTTGAGCACGTAAAGCCTGTGGGTCTTGGCAAAGATTATATTTCTTTGAGGATTGTGGACTGGCGCTACAGAATCACAAAGAACTGTACCAAATAACAGAAACCTCATCACTTGAGGACTCCTACCAGCAACACCAACAAAAAGGGACAGCACGTGTAACTCGAAGAGAAAATAATGACATAATCAAGATATTGTCATTCCACACTACTGTGACGGAATTGTGACAAGTTTTGTGACGACATTCTCCGATCGTCCGTCGTTCATTGCACCTGTGATGACATCCAAGATTGAGTGTATTTGCATTTACACTCTTAACTCGCTATGTGCAAAGGTTCGTCTTCCCGGCTTTGATCGCTTTCAACAAAATAATACTAGTGACGACGAATGTTTTTAAAGATTGGGAGTTCACAACAATACGATTTTCTTACTTAGAATCTTTTCCTTCAGCTGAACTGCGATCTCCCTAATTTCACTGGCCTCGAGGACGTATGGCTCCTATGATCGCCAGACCAAAATCCACCAGAGTTTTATCTATGGGGGAAAAGCAAAATTTGCAGTGTCTCCAGATCATCCGTGCACAATGGATGACTTGAAAGCAATGATAACAATCTACTTCAGGCGAGAAGCTGATAGAACAAAATTTGTTCAGAAACAAAAAAACTAAAAAAAAAAAAAAAAAAAAAATTAAAAACTAAAGAACAAAAAACAAAACTAACATAAAGATGAACTTTGGCAAATTTACGAACAAAACAAAACACCAAATTCGGAAATTATTTAAATAATTGAATATTTTTGAATTTTTAACCTTTCTTTCACATAGAAATGGACGATTGGTCTTTAATTAAATCATAGTTTAAAATATTTTTCTTCAAATAAAACAAAATGTAAAAAAAAAAAAAAAAAAAAAAATTTAGAGGGATCCAAGACTGATGGCGTCATTTTCAACATCGTGTGAGGTCATTCATGACGTAATTGTGACGACATTCGTCCGTCGTTCACTGCACTTGTGATGACATCCAAGGTTGCATATACACCCAACTCTCTTTGTATGTTAGGTTTGTCTTCTCGGCCGTGATAGCTTTCAACAAAATAATTCTAGTGACAACAAATGTTTTCAAAGACACTTGTTGGGAGCTCAAAACAATACGATTTCTCACTTAGCCAGCTAACTTTTCCTTTGGCTGAACAGCTATCTCCCAAACTTCACTGGCCTCGAAGCTCGGCGACTCCTGATTCCTCACCAGGGGCCCTTCTGTCACTGACCACTGGGCAGCTCTAACTTTTCTGCTCACCTACCTACTTCTGTCATCCAGTTTCTCCCAACTTCCTGCCTTTCTATGCTTATATGGATAATTCTGGGGTCACACCCCATCCATCCATCCACTTGTGTTCTAGAAGGTTGCAGACCACCCCAGATTCACATGGGTGGACAAATCTCCAATGGGCTATTTTCCAATTATTGATAAAAATGTTTATGCCTCCTAATTCAAAGGTGAATTGGAGAAATTAATCTTTAAAACAGAGACAAAGATTGACTGGAGACAATATTCCTATTAAACTCAAATAATTAAGAGGGCTTAAAAGAAAAAAAATTATCTATTTTCAGTTACTCAGTTGCCTAAAAGTATCAAGGAAAATTTATTGAAACAAAACAAGTACAGTTGACCACTGATGGCAATTCCAGAACAACGTAACTATAAACAATTTTTTCTATCCTCTGCCAGCCGCAATGATGGAGAAAGCATTACCACGAACCATCGCCAGTGAGACACGCTGCAAGAGCCACTCCGTTTCGCGAGTCTCGTTCCTTAATCGAGATGCAATCGCGTCAATCCTCCGAAGGAACGCCATCGAACGAGGGCCAATAACCCCAGAAGTCTCCACTGCCACAGGAGTAAAAAAAAATCTATCAGCAAGAGAAGAATATTTAACTATTTTTTTCATCTCTGCGTCCCGAGCGGCGGATCCTGGCTCAACCGCGGACCTGATCAAATTACCGGCCGAAAATGTATCCGCACAGATCGCATCCCAAATCAACGACTTCCCCATTTTAAAAGGGAAAATGGTAATGCCGTCCGGCCGCTTTCCATCACCGCGGTCGAGGCCTACGGGTTCGATTTGGGAAGGGAACCCAGCTGCATCCAAACCTCTTTTGATGATGTCGTTAATGGCTGCATGCCGTTAAAAGCGGCCGGCACTACGACGACAGGAGAGAGGATGCAAACCAAACTCATCGATGGAGGCTCCACATCTGCATTTGTGACGCTCACATAATTTGAGTCCAAGATGGATTCCGACTCCGACTCGAGTGCACTCATCATCTAGAAGGGTACCGGTAGATGAAGAGGGCACTCTTAATATTAATATTAATTAAAATTAATAGCGACTATTTTTGTATTTTTTAGTTATCTTCTAAAGATGTGTGAGAAATCATACTGTTACACTATTTTAAATAAAAGGTTATGGAGAAAACCTCCATCAATACCGGAAAAGGCGATAATAGCTACTGGACGTGAAAGATCTATTTTCCTGGAAAATGTTTCAAGAGAAAGATTTTATAAATCTCATTCCGAAAGCAGTACTGGGTGCTTGGTCAATGAATGTCAAATGTTTCCTTATAGGGAAAATGCTAATATTACTATTCGGTTAAGAGCCATATGTGATAAACGCTTGGGTGACCATGCCTCTTACAATTCATGACTGGCTAGGTAGACTCGTTGACAACCAGGGATCTAGGACCCAGTCTGTCCCACTATTCAACCCATAGCTTGGGTAGGAGAGATGAGTTTATACATTTCCAAAGTGTACTTGTGCGTAAGTGAATGTAACGAATTACCATCACTATTAAGCGCCTGGTAGTGCTATTTCTTTCTTTCTTTTCTTTACTTTCTTTCTTTTCTTTTCTTTTTTCTTTTCTTTCTTTCTTTCTTTCTTTCTTTCTTTCTTTTCTTTACTTTTTTCTTTCTTTCGTTTCTTTACTTTCTTTTCTTTACTTCTTTCTTTCTTTCTTTCTTTTCATTACTTTCTTTCTTTCGTTTCTTTTCTTTTTTCTTTTCTTTCTTTCTTTTTTTACTTCTTTCTTTCTCTACTTTTTCTTTCTTTCTTTTCATTACTTTCTTTCGTTTCTTTACTTTTCTTTTTTCTTTTCTTTTCTTTCTTTCTTTCTTTTCTTTTCTTTCTTTCTTTTTTTACTTCTTTCTTTCTTTCTTTCTCTACTTTTTCTTTCTTTTCATTACTTTCTTTCGTTTCTTTACTTTCTTTTCTTTTTTCTTTTCTTTCTTTCTTTTTTTACTTCTTTCTTTCTCTACTTTTTCTTTCTTTCTTTTCATTACTTTCTTTCTTTCTTTCTTTTTCTTTACTTTCTTTCTTAATTTTCTTTATCTTCTTTCCTTTTCTTTCTTTCTTGTTATGTATGCTTTCTTTGCCTCACTATAATCGACATTGATTTCTATCTTTTCCTTCCGTCTTTTCTCAAAATCAAACGGAATGGTCCTCCATTTATCTGTGGCAATGCCAGGGTGTATAATGTATTTTTGAAATTTAAATTGATAAATATTTTATTATAATATTATTTTATGAATACAATATTACGTCATTTTTTTTATTTTAGAATAAATCTCCAACAATCTTATAGTTTAAAAAATAAGGTTGGGGTAGGGGCTGTGTTTCGTCTCAATAGAATTGACTCAGCTTTCCCCAAATTCTACGATACTAGGATTGAGGAAGAAGTCTAGTGTGAGCCCCTTGTATACGTTGTGTACCACAGATAAGAGTACATAATTCTTGTCTGTGGAATAAGAACTCTTTCAATAAAATTATAAGATAAATTGAACTCTCTGCTTCCTCTTGAGGCGCAGTATTTATTACGTATGGAGTAGTCCATTATGTTATTATGGGTAAGGTCCCATAACAGTATGGAATAGTCCATTATGTTATTATGGGTAAGGTCCCATAACAGTTTTCTTTATCTATGCCGGTTATATATTTACTCGGCTTTTTTTTTCCAGACTGAACTGTATTTGTCAATGTTGTCAATAATTTCTTCTTATCGGCGGAAAGTAGGTAGGTTGGGAGAATTTGGTTTTCCTCAGTTTTACTAAGTCTAAGTAATTCTGGGTTCGATTTTCATTGGAACTGTTTTTAAATTCATTTTATTATTTTAAAACATGAAGTTGTTGATAACTCTGACAACAGATTTATTGAGTATAAAGAAAGCTACTGCAAATCATATACTTAACGGCAGGAGGGTGAAATTAATTGGAAATTAATCTATTTGCAAACGCTAACGTATTAACTAGACAATCAATTCTAGCTATGTTATTCGAAGTAATAACCAGTCAATCGACTCTCACTCAATTCTTCTACCCATCAACTTTTCCTCAATTCTTCGAGGTAATAAACAGCTCGTCGAATCTCACTCAATTTTTCAAAGCAATAACGAGTCAATTGATTCCCACTCAATTCTTCAGTTATGCGCCTGTCTGTGTTTTCGCACCGAACCAGGAATTGTTGGTGTGCTCTTCAACAACGACATTCTTACGCCATTCCGAGCCGCCGTATTCGACCGTCACGACATCTTGTCAGGCGAATTCCTGTTTCACACTGTCTTAGCGATTGTGTTTTCTCTCCGTCCCGGGAATAGCGGGTGTGATCTTTAGCGACAACCGTCTTACGGGCAATACCGGGCCGTTCCAACCCGCTGTCTCCAACTGTCACGACTCCTTATCGGGCGCGATCTCCATGAGTCTCTTTGTCTGAGCCCTCTCGTTTATAAAGTGTTGTGTCGGAATCCTACCACCCCTCTTGAAAATGAACTTGTCTGCGAACAAAGATTTTAAATAGTGGCATGTCAGAAGACAGACAGATCCGTCTCGATACAGTCTTTGACTGTAAGCGATGTCTGTCGAACTCTCTGCGTTAGCAGAGAGGAACCCGGACGAAGCTTTGCCGAAGGGCAAGGTTTCATCCGGGGAGGTAGACAGCCCCTGAACCCGTCTAGGCGGGTTCAAAGGGTATATTTTTGGCCGAGCCTACGGGCTCGGATAAACCCACATTAAACTCGGCCTTGTGCCACATTCAATCCTCGTGGAGGGATCGATAAATACTCAGAGAAGTTCTTAGCTGAGCTAGTTATTGACTACTCAGACGATTTCTGTACCTTTTTACCAACCTATTAAACCCTTTTTATTGTTACGTGTTATTTGGCGTTTGTCTCTACTAACCCCAAATCAACATCATAACATAAAGATAACTTCTCCTCCTCCTAAATTTGATATTGCTATGTCTAATTTCTACACTCGTCCGTCTTAACATTAGGAGATCTTATTAAAAAAATAATATGGTATTACTTTTATTTACTTAGGATCTTCCGAGGTATCTTTCTGTACAGATAATTGTGTTCCCGTGTACAAAAATAAAGTCTACATAAACCAGATTTGTTCTTTGTCTAGAATGATTTGTAAGAACACAAACATTCTGAACAGATGGCGTAATGTAAACAATCTAACGAATTTTAAATTTCTCAAGGACCTAAGAAATTCGGACAACACATTAATAATTTCTTGTTATCGGTGGAAAGTAGGTAGGTTGGGAGAACTTGGTTTTCTTGGTTTTTCTCAGTTTTACTAAGTCTAATTAATTCTGGGTTCGATTCTCACTGGAACTGTTTTTAAATTTATTTTATTATTTTAAAACATAATTTTTAACGCTTTTCTTTTTTAAAATTCTTCACGACCATTCAAACTACTCCCCTGAGAATTTTAATAATTATTATTCAATTAGTAGTTCAGCCAAATCCCCATCCGGTAATTTTATGCAATTAAACATTTAGCCAGTTCAGTGCCATGTTACAGACAAACATATAAACAAACAGAACGGAAAATTGAAAGCTACCCGACTCATCTCCGTGGCATTTTGCGAGACTGAATAAATATTAATTTGATAAGTAATCCAGAATAACATCTATTAAGAACGGGGTGCAGACGTTCCTTCTGGGGGCAAGGACAATAATTTGGGCGGAGGGAATAATTTGGAACGTTGGTGAGAAAGATGAAAAACATTTCGGGTCTGAGATAACAGCGTTATGATAAAGTTTAAATGATCTTCATATATTTATTTATTTTTTTTTAGTTGTCGGAGTCGGACATGGCGGAAAAGAATATTGAGAACTTTTAGAAGAAAGAATTAGCGTGTCTACCTGTGCGAGAGAACTACAAATGGCGGTAATTCCGCGGCTGATTATGCTATTGAGTTGAAATGATTTTTTTTCAGCTGAGCTCTCGTCTTTGTATCGACTCCACTGCACATTATCAAATATGCTCAATCGTAATGGATAGCCGATGGAAGCAAAGCAGCGATTCTATTTTTGAAGTTTCGTGCTATGAGGAACGAAAGAGAATCCATTTATTGACTTTTCTTTTAAAGGAATTGGTCTCTTTAATACGTGCAGTTAAAGATCAGTGATGCGGGTTTTTTTGTTCTTTTTTCTTCGAAAATTTTACGAATATTTTTTTAATATTCAATTTGCATAAAATGCAAACACTGAATCCATCTTGTTTTACTTAATGTAAGAATAAACATTCGCTCAATGATTTTTAAGCTTTTCGCCCGCAAAACCCACGCAACGAAACGCAGAAATCGACGCACTGAACCGTAATAATTATGTTTAAAAGACGTTACTTAGTAGTTCAGTTTCCATGGTTTAATTTGAAATCAACGAGCCGAGGTCAAATTATGGACAATTTCAGGTTTTTTTTTTTATTTCCATTTTTACGCTTGCAATATCTTGTGCGATCTAGTCTACACGGTTGGGTTAAAGATACGAAACAGTCCATTTTAGTCGATGCTGATGGGAAGTTAGTCAAGAAGAAAACTGAGAAGTTGTGTATTAAAAAAAGAAAAGGAGGACAGAAAAAATACGTTGTATTTATTGAATATAGATTAGTTTGACACAACGCTACAATAATATGAAGCATCCAAATTTTCAAAACGAACTCATTGTTAACAGGGACAAGAAATGGCTTGTAAATTTTAACACCTCAAGAACGAAACTATCTTTTAATCATTATAGAGAACTAATTTTGCTTTCTATCGCTTCTGACGCTAACCTCCAGGAGAGCAACCCATTGCACCTCTTGGTATCGTGTTTTTCACTGACATGAAGTGGTGTGATTATATTCAATAAAATCATTAGTTATAGTGCTAGGAAACTTGGTTTACAATGTCGTGCCAGGCATTTTTCTTGTCAGAATCCATCTTGCACAGTTATAAATTTACCACTGAATGCATTGAATATTCCTGCCATATCGGATCAAGAAATTCCCGACAAAATCCAAAGAGGGGTTTTGTTGTGTAGGAACCTACCACCCCTCTTGAAGATGAACTCGTTAACAAACAAGGACGTTAAAGAGTGGCATGTCTAAAGACAGTGTCGGAGAAGTTCTGGGCTGAGTTAGTTATAGACTACTCAGGCGATATCTGTACCAACTTACCAACCGAATAAACCCCATTTTATTGTTACATGTTATTTGGCGTTTGCCTTTATTAACCCCAAATTAACATCATGACAAGTTTTTAATGTTATCCGTGTCGATCTGATATCTCGACTTCAGTCAATTTCCCATCGACGTGATGTGGCCTAACTCTGTACTTTATATAAATATTTTCATACCAATCATTTTAATGAGCTGTCCTCTTTGGTACATTTACTAGATTGGTAACTAGGTCTCATCGTCTGCCACTGAAATAGCTAGAGGTAACCATAAGTTTTATTCTAATAGTTTCTTTTCTCTAACTTCTGTCCGCAGAACTCTCTTCAGGTTTCTTAAATCCTTGCCATCTACGAACTTCAAAAATCTAAATGCACGCCAACCATCATCTTCTGTCTCCCTGAACCCGGTTCTTTTATTGCTCTTTCTCACAACTAAAGTTTTATTATTCTCTTTCACTCTCAGTAACCGCTGGTGTCTTAGTGGCATTATCGCCTTGCTTGAGATGAAATGATAAAAAAAACCCATCTTCCTCAAATAGTTTAATAACAGCACGAATTAAAAAAAAAAAAACTTCTATGGAATTTGTTTATTTAATTTAGATTTTTATAAAATGTATTTTTTGCTTAGTTGTAACAGTTAATTTTAATTTTTCATTTTAGGATACGTTTAAAAAATAAAAGTATGAAACATTTGTCATACCATAATTAAAAAAAAAAATGAAAAACTTATATCCAGTAATTAAAAAGAAAAGATGTTAATGTGAGTAAGAGTTGTTCCTTGCCTGTTCCTGGCTGCCTCTTTGGTTATGATCCAAGTTGAGATTCCCAACCTCCCCAATTTGTTTCGGCCCCTTTTTATCTCGGCTGGGTCAGCTTTTTATT